GTCTTCATCGTTTCCATGCACGTGTGGTGCATATATTACGGAACAATAATTTTTTATTTAAAAAAAATTGTATCTCCAAAGCTGCTTCTTCGACATCGCTAATTTTTTGATATGTTATGTAAAATTAAATGATCTTTCAATTAAAAATACTAAAATAAGAAGTTGTTGAAGACCCTCGCAGTGAAAATCAAGAAAAATCATTTGTAACATATTCTTTTCCTACAAAATCAAATATCTCTGAGTGTTTCATAATTTTTCTTAAAACTAAATTAAAACATCTTTCATTTGAAGGGTCAACCGTAAAAATCGGTCAAGAGGTTCAAAAGTAATAATTTTTTGAAAAAAGACATTTTTGAAAAAAAAATGATTTTTTGGACCACCCTAACACGGAAATGGTCACCCTAATGGCGCAATAAAAAAATACGAGTCTAATATTTTTTGATAAGGAAGAACGATACCAATTTTCATGAAATTCTGAGACCCACTATAAGTTTTTTCTATGGAATTGCTATATATATATATATATATCTTAAAAAGGAAAAAAAAACATTATCCTGATTTTTTTGTATGTTAGATAAAAAAGTATGAGCTTTCAAAATAAAAATATAAAAACTAGGATCTCTTTGGTCTCGGCACTGTGACGTCCATAAAAAAATAGTATAGTAAAACTTATTTGACTTTCATTTTAGTATAATTTCTTAATAGCCCTTACCTTTCATTAGCTGAAAAAATATCGAAAATCGGTTCAAGGTTATGAATTGTCATAGTTGAGTATATAGGAAAAAACGATTTTTGGACCACCATAACTCAGGATGGCACACCCTAAGGGCGAAATAAAAAAAAAATGGGCTAAAATTTTCGATAAGGAACAAATATACAAGGTTCAAGTGGAATTGAAGCATACTTTTTTTATTATTTTTTTTTTCATGGATGGTGGTTCAACCTTCAAGACCTAAATTAGGTCCTGACCATTCTCCCACAATTTATGTTTATTTGGATACGAACTCATACTGCACTGGCCCTTTGAAGTTTATATGGGAATTACTATGGGAAAAGTGAACTTTATGTTCTCATCGTCCTGGCACTTCGCCATAATAATTTACGGAAAAGCTACAACTTTGCTGTTCACTTTTTGAATAAACTTCAAAATACTTAGTTATTAATTGATTTCGAAGCTGATAACTTTCTGATATCATTAATCAAGTGCTTTCAGGGTAGCTCGGGCCCGAGTAAAGTCTGAGATCAAAACGAAACCTAAATTTTATGTTGTGATTATGTTAAAGATTACTCAGGTTACTGTCGTTTTGGTCGTTTTATCGGTTAAAATATCAAAATTGAGAGCAAAAATACCTTCCTGGCGATAACAAATTGAAAACTAATTTCGCCATCAGTAATGTACATTTTTACTGTTGATAACAAAACTAGCATTCCATTTGATGTTCAGTTGTTTAATTGCTGCAAAAAGACTCGATTGAAATAAAAAAAAAACGTCAGCATATTTAGATGTACTTCGAACAAACCTACAGAAAATCGAAAACAAAAATGTTATCAAATTTGTCGATCGTAAACTGAAATCAAATTATGATTTCAATTTGATGTTGAAATCAAAATATGATTTCGATTTGCTATAATTTTGAAATTGAACTTTTCATCATTTTTTTTTCCACATTTAGTAACACACAAAGTAAAGAAAGCTTTCAATTAAAAAAAATGTGGTAGGTAGCGCTAAAATAACATTAGGTTGAAAGAAGACATTCAAGGTTCAGTTGCTATAAGAGGAAGAATCCTTCCTTCAACTGGCTCAAGTGCAAACATTTTCAAGTGCATCTCAAAAATAAATCAAATCGTATGATTCGAAACATATTCAAGGTACTAATAATTATATTGTTTCTACGATTATTTCACCTAGTAAATCCAATTCAGAAAAAGAAATTATATACACGACCCAAACCAGCAAAGCCGAGCATGTTGCTTAGTTTCCTAGCGATAGTAAGACTGGTATGGTTTCGTAGTAATATTAGCAATTTTCATTTCAAGTCACGTTAAAATCTAACATCAAAGAAATACTTATTGCAATAAATCTTCCTTCTTCAATCTGCCACCATAGTTGTTGATTATACTTTGTGTTATGTTTTTAAATTGAAAACGGTTTATGTAGCAATTTTAGTTAGGTTGCCTCTGGTGTTTCCTTTGACCTGAACTTTGTCTACTGTGGAATATAAAAGAACAATTCCCAGAAGCACAATATAAAAAGCTTTCTTTACTTGGCTTACTATAACTGTCAGTACGTAGGTGCTTGACTTTTCCTCCTCTGGTTTTAAGTTCATCCTGCTTTTCTGCTATGAGGTGTATCCATACTTTGTAGTCTCAGTAAGGTATTTGAGAAACTGATCCACACCGTTTTGTACAGAGCTGCTGCACCGATCATCTCCAACAGTCAGCACGGCTTTATGAAGCATCGTTCAACAACATCGAACTTAATGTGTTATGTATCAGCGATATCCCGTAGCTTAGAATCGAAGCAACAAGTGGATTCGGTTTATGTTGATTTTGCGAAAGCGTTTGATACAGTACCGCACAATCTCATCGCTGCCAAAATGAACCACATTGGATTTCCGACATGGATCACTGAATGGCTCTATTCATACCTGTCTAATCGCAATGCTTTCGTGATGGTGAATTCCGCACGCTCCAGGACTTTCAACATACCATCTGGCGTGCCACAAGGCAGTGTTCTCGGTCCTCTTATTTTTATCATTTATGTTAATGATCTGTGTGACATGCTCTCATCATCCAAACTTTCTTTTGCCGATGATCTAAAATTTTTCCGTGTGATTGTATCTCCCACTGACTGTGTCACGTTGCAAGAAGATATACATCGTGTGATAGTCTGGTGCGGTGACAACGGCATGCGCGTAAACAGCAAAAAGTGCAAAATAATATCCTTCACTCGCTGCAACATCGTTATTCACCATCAATATTACATGGGGCCGGATTCTCTAGAACGTGCAATTTCAATCTGTGATCTAGATATTACGATCGATTCGAAGCTAAGGTTTAACGAACACATAAACATCGTAACTGCTAAAGCATATACTGTGCTTGGTTTTATTCGTCGTCATGCTTCTGGTTTCACCGATGTTTATTGTCTCAAGACGCTATTCTGCTCGCTGGTTCGCAGCATTTTAGAATATGCTTCCCCGGTTTGGTCTCAATTTTACGTTACGCATATCCTTGCGGTTGAAAGGATTCAGAAAAGTTTTATAAGGTTTGCATTGCGTCAGCTCCCCTGGAATGATCCAGTCAATCTTCCAAGTTATCCCGACCGATGCAAGCTGATTGATTTGGAATCCCTCTCTGCCAGGCGTCTCAAATTGCAACGACTGTTTATCTTTGACCTCATAACAGGAAACGTGGACTGTCCTGAACTTCTGGAACTGATTCCATGGAATACTCCTCCTCGACGATTCCGTAATTCCCCGTTACTTGCAATTCCATTTCACAGAACGAACTTTGGATTCAATAATTGTTTTAATTCTTGTTTGCGTTCCTTTAATGATGTTTGTAGCGAGTTTGATTTTATTTTGACCAAACATGTGTTTAGTGCTAGAATAAGGCGTTTAGATTAAATTAGGTTTTAAGTAATGAGTCTGTACGACGTAGTCGAAGATGGTGATCAAATAAATAAATACTGCGATTGTAAAACAGTATCATTGAAAGTGTGTACGTTGCTTAACTGAGAGGTGGAGGGTTCATTATCTTACATAAATCAGACAGGTTACATTGCAACCTTGTTGACTTCGTGGTATGCTATGAACTAGAGAGGGTCTTGTATAAGAGAGGAACGGACTGGCTGATTTTGAGCCATCATCATTCACTGCTTGTCCGTCAAGCAGTTCAGTCCGGTTTTATGCTCGCTCTGTTGAGTTGTTCGATTGTTTGTTTAAAACGTTTATTCGCGTCGTTAATAGTGTCGATCGCACCGTGTGATGGGAAGACAGTGGTGAGGGTAGCACGAGTGTACCTATTTCAAATAGATACGCTACTCTTGCCACCGATGTTGGAAATATCACCCACGTCACGGTGAAGCGATCCAAGAAGAGGAAGAAAAACCAGGGCCGATGGTGCGAGTGGACGCGACAGGGACACCGCGACGAACGTCAGCGACATGGGTGATTTCGGCGACGCCATCGACAACGAAAATTCTGCCGGCCCGAGTGCGGCTAAAGTGAAAATGCCAATCTTAATGAACTCATCGCCGATCTAGCGAAGCTGGGCGTCAAAGCCGAAAACAAGTTAGGCAGAGTTGGCACCAAGGTGGTGCTCCGTACAAAAGCGAAGTATGGTGGAATTCTTCACCCACGACATTCTCGGTGAGAAACCGTTCAATGTCGTCATCAGGGGCCTACCAAACTTCGACCCGAAGTTTATCGATGCTGAAATCAGGGACCGGTACAAGCTGGCCCAAAGTACCGTCTATCGGATGACAAGAAGAGACGTGAATGTGAAGGAGTATACGGATTGCCTTTTCCTGTTACACTTCCAGAAGGGAACGGTGACGCTCTGAAAGCCATCCGCTCCATCAATTCCATCATCGTCCACTGGGAGCCATATCGTGGCGGCCATCGCGATGTGACTCAGTGTCAACGGTGTCTGAACTTTGGACACGGCACCCGAAACTGCAACATTAAGCCACGCTGCGGCAATTGCGCTCAAGACCATGCCACCTCCGAATGTGCTGCGGATGAAGCTGTGGCGTCCAAATACTTCAACTGTGGTGGTGCTGCAATTGCTCCAACTGTGGTGGTGCTGTCCCTGGACTTTTTCCTGTCAAACATTGGACTATCCAAGCCGGAGGCGCACAACGATCTCAGCTCTGACCACCAACAGGTGGTGACTGAAGTCGGTGTCAACGTGGTTCTTGCTAGAAGCTGCCTGCGTAAAGACTACCACCATGTCAACTGGGCGGAGTACGGATGAATGGTGGACAGCAACATCGATTAAAATCCACCGCTTGACACCATAGATGACATCGACCGGGCGTTGGAAGGACTCCAACAGGCCATATCCGAGGCATACGTTCGACAAATCCCTGTGAAGGGTAAGTTTGTTGCTATTGATTTTTCACACCCAATTACTGATTTGGTTGAGAAATGTTCGTAGACGCCAGTTTCAGAGGACTGGAGATCTGGACAAAAACGTGAAATCGACGGCAGATTGCTTCCAGAATGGACTCACTCCGAAATGAAAGTTTCAGGCCTGTTGTCCAGAATCTGGACGAGCGCTCCAGACCATTCTGCAAGGCAGCCAAGGTCCTTTAAACACATCCCAAACCCGTTCCACCTCTCAGAGTCGAAAATGATGACGATCGACTTTTAATCACCCCACAGGAGAAAGCAACTGCGATCGGCGAGCATGTCGCTTCATCGCATTTTCTTGGCTCGAATATTCAAAGTCCGCTCGAAGATCAGGTTGTGCAATGCGTTTAAAACCTAGATGCCTCCCCTTGTGTCGTGTCTCCGGCGGATATGATTACAGTACAACAGATTTTCTCAGCGCTGAAATGCACCATGAAGGCTCCCGGGTTTGACGGTATATTCAACTTGATCTGGAAGAGACTCAGCATGAAAGTGCAGTCTCTTCTAACCGCTATTTTCAACAGTTGCTTGGAACTGCACTACTTTTCAAGCATCTGGAAAGTAACAAAAATCATATCAATCCGCAAGCCTTCAAGCTACAGCCTCTTTTCAGCGCTGAGCAAATTGTTCGAGAAACTCATTCTCAATCTTTTTCTCAAATTTGTCGAGGAAAACAACATTCTCATTCCGGAACAGTTCGGGTTCAGAAAGGAGCACTCCACAAATCACCAGCTAGTACGGGTGATGAATAACATCCGAAGTAACAAAGCTGTATCCAAGTCCACAGCCATGGCCTTTCTAGGCGTTGAAAAGACAACTTTCCTTTACATCTGGTTAAAATCACCCGTAACTACCTCCAGCAAAGGTCGTTTAAGGTATCGTTGAATGGTTGTCTTTCAGACACGTTTTCCATTCCAGCAGGTGTTCCGCAAGGCAGTCTGCTGGGCCCCTTGCTTTACAGCATTTACACTTCCGACATTCCTCGCTTCGGAGACGGTCGCGTGTTTTTCCTGTTTGCAGATGATACCGCAATAGCCGTCAAAGGAAGGATGCCTCGCGAAATAACGAACAAACTTCAACGATGCCTTAACGCCTTTGCTGAATATACCACCACGTGGAAAATTAGAATCAATGCTTCCAAAACTCAAGCGATCATGTTCCTCCATCGGCAATCGCCTGAACTGAAACCAGCTCCATCTTGAACTGTAATCATGGAAGGCACAAGGGTTGAGTGGTCTGCCGAAATAACCTATCTCGGGATGTTCTTCGATGAAAATCTCCTCTTCCGTTCGCATGTTGAGAAAACTGTAGTCAAGTGTTCTGCTTTGGTTCGGTGTCTTTATTCGCTGATTTGCCGCAGATCCCGCCTCTCAAGGGTGAACAAACTGGCTGTCTACAAACAAATCATATCCTCTACGCAGCTTCGGTGTGGGGTTTGATTAGTTGTAGTTGTAAATAGTAGTTATAAGTAGTTTCCAATAGAACCAATACCACCAAGGTTGTCATTCTTTAAAACCGGCCTGATAGGACTAGGAACTGTAACTAATAATAATTTAAATTCAAAAGCACTAAAGTTGTAAAGACGCATCTGTGTCACTTGATAAGTAATGCATATAAACCACATAAATTCAAGAAATAAAGATCATTTAAAGTCAAAGTAAAAAAAGTCTGATTTTGAGCCAAACTAACTGTCAAAGCCAGAGCCAATCGATCAGCCTATCTTGATTGCAGTCCCGAAAAAAAATTATAATATAACAACTAAATCACAATTATTTTAAGTGTTGAATTCTGAGTGCATTAAAATTTATTATTAAATTGTTGTAATGGAGCAAAATTAAACTTCGATTTGTAACGATACAATGCTTAAACCATGAAAATTAGTGTGATGAGATCAAATTTGTTCGAGAAAATTAGTTTTTTTTTATTGATAAGATGCTTAAAAATGCCCCTTTTTTACTGTAAATTTTTCAAATACCATGTTTTTCATTGTAGTGAACCATAAACTTCGTTGTGATTTTATGGTAATCGACAAAAATGTCCTATGTTTTGACAGTAAATATCATGACATCATAACAATGAAAATTATTGATTTATATTGGATTTTTTACGGGTTGACAGTAGAGGTGTGCGCCGATTCAAAAATGGTCGGCGGCGGCGGCGTGTGGGAGAGTTATGCTTGGCGGCGGCGGTATCATCGGCGTCACGCCAATAGCACTTTAGGTGATGGTGGAGGCGTGAATCGGCGTGTCATTTTTTTGCACCCATCAGTTTTTTTTTTTGCAAATTTAACAATGAATATACACGGGCAATATAAAAATAAATATCGCACAGTTTACATTTCTTCTATTACATAACGTATCCATGAGGATCCGCTGACATCGATAATCATGAACACATGCATCAACCATGACGTCTCATCATCTTTTTTTTTTTAGTTTTAATTTGTGAGATCTTAGAACATGAGCAAATTGAATTGAGTCTAATTCGATTAAAATCACAACATTTTAACATCAATGTAATTTGAAACATTTGTTCACTTCCAAAATGCACAGATAGCTCATTTAGTTAAAAATGCAAATGCATGTCAATATAATAGTTGACATCTTAAAAAAAAACTAAAACCAAATCTTATCAAAGTATAAATGGAGTAAATCGTTGCAATTGAGGATTGCAACGATTTTTGCCTGAAATTATTAATTATTTGGTTGGACTGGTAGTGCAACAACTAGACTTTATTGGCACATCGTAAAGAATGGCCGGTCTCCCAAAATTTCAAAAACTTTGGTTTCAAATGAAGAAAGAATTTTATGTTTGATTCGTCTATGAACAATGATAGCAACGCCACCACAGGCTCCATCAAGACGATCATTTCTATAAATGAAATAATTTGCGTCCCTCTTAACCTTATGGTCCGGTTTAAGGAACGTTTCAGTTATAACGGCAATATGCACGTTATAAACTCTCAAAAAGTTAAATGGCTCGTCTTCATTACCTTTAAGAGATCGAGCATTCCAATTTAAAATATTTAATGATTTAAAATCCATTATTGAATTTCAAAGTCATGACAATATTGTTCGCAAATTTTACTCCAGGTTGAATAGCATCAAACATGGAGTTAGATTTAAGCAAATCAGTAATCATGTCAATCTATTTCTGTAAAAGTTTAAAATTTAAATTTTTAGGAGCAGTACTGCTTCCTATGTCAAAATTTTGAAAGTTTCCGTTATAATTACATTGGCTAGTATTTTGATTTCTACCCGTACAATAGCAGCATAGGTAGCTCCATTAACTCGCTGAACATTGTTAGGAGCAAGGGGAGTAGGTATAGATGAAGAATTAGAAGCAGGGGTGATATTTGGACCTCCGGGTACGAATGTAGAATTTGTTCCTCGCTGACCGTTTTTATCAGCAGAGGAATGTGTACCTGGTTGGAAACGTAGAGCGTTTCCTACCTGTCGCTTAGAACGAGAGTGTAGTCTTACATTCCCAAAAATTGGATTTGTGGTTTTCACCACAAATTGAACATTTAAATTTCTTAGGATCTTCCTTCCCCAGGACAGTCGTCCTTTGCGTGAGAGGAATCATCAAAATTCATGCATTTAGCTGACATGTAGCAATTTTTAGTTTCGTAACCCTATCCCTGGCACTTACGGCACTGGGTGAGGTTTTGGAAATTTCCTCCAGTCTTCCTGAAGTGTTCCCACTTCACTCGGACATAGAGCATAAAACTACCTATTTTTAATGCTTTAAAGTTGTCCTCTTTGATCTGATACAGGGATTGACCACTGGGCAGTCCTTTTATGACAACCTTGAACACACGTTCAGTTTTGGTGTCGAAAGTAAACAATGTATGCTGCTTCTCAGTAAGATTGATAAGACATTTGAATCCGTCCATGGTTTCAGCAAATACACGGCATTCACCCCGACGTCCAATTTGTAGTGAAAACTTATATGGATGATGGATCATTCTCATCATCTGTGAGCAAATCGAATTGAATGCTCAAATTAATTTCATCAGAAGGGGGATCAATAGGGGGATCATCAGAAGGGGGATCAATAGATTCTTTTGCGTTTAGGCGCCATGGCGGTGGTAAATTGTTAATCAAAATTGACTTCCAAGTAGATTAATATAAGAATCTGAAGGATCGAAGAGGAATTTTTCAAATCGATATCCAAGAAGGATTACATACACAGTCCAAACAAGGATCGAAGAGAAATATGAGTCAAAAAAGGTAGAAATTTTATATGTTGAGCACTGAAAAGTGCTGTTTAAATTTGTTGTAGCATTAGGTAGTAGTAACAATTCCTTCAGCAAAAAGCAAATAGATCCGCATGGCAAGAGAGCACGATGTGGACTCGATGGCTAAGCTGTAATTTTCCCGAGAATTCGGCAATCATAGAAATGAATTTCTGTATGTCTGTCTGACCCTCATAGACTCGAATACTACTGAACCGATCGGCGTGAAAATTTGTATGCAGGGGTTTTCGGGGCCGGGAAAGGTTTTTATGATGGTTCGAGATCCCTCCCTCTCTGTAAGGGGGGGGGGGGATCCCATACAAATAAAACAGAAAAATATAACAAGCTTTTTTTTAATCGGAGCATAAATTCAAGCTAATATTGAATCCCGAACAAGGCTGGGCACGCTGAGTATGGATTATAAAAAGAGGGAAGTTCCTAGACCTAATTCAAGCTGAACATTACATTTCCTAAGTAACATTGACAGATTAACTGAAATATCGTACCATACGTATAATTGTTTCGTTTATGGGGTAATCATAGATTTGTATTATTTTTAGAATCGATCTACCTTCCGTGACAGGCAGGCATTGAAGTTGTCGCAGGTCAGGTTTATTCGAGGTAAAAGCCTCAGTATTGCTTCGGTATATCTTCCTCCGCGAACTGCAATTTCTCGCCAAGGTTTTTCAGATATCTGCTCAGTTTTACCTGAGCCTCGGTTGATCTTCGGAGATTTTAACTCCCACGATACAGGCTGGGGAGACTTCAAAATGACAATTCTAAACACTGGGGAAGTAACACGAGTGGCCAAACCTCCAGCAAGAGAAAGTAGATTAGACCTCTCACCTCTCATATTAGTTCAGCTTCAAGCTGTCCAAAACGAGACTGCTCTGAGGAAGTTGCTTTCATTAATCCGAACATTCTTGATGAACAACATAGGATATAACCTCAAAATGTCAGAGGGATCAACACCACCGTTGAGTAAAGAACAGAACAGCGATAGAAACTGTACGCTTTGTGAAGGCCATGACCACGTAGATGATATGGTCCAGTGTGATGTCTGCGATTTCTGGACCCATTATAGTTGTGCTGGTAAGACAACAGCTGTAAAGGAGGTTACGTAGACGTGCTCTAAGTGCACATATATGCTGAAGGTGGCAAAAGGAACCAAGAAGTCTGTCCCAAAGAAACCACCTAGCAGAACCATCGTTGAACAGGCTTCGTAGGTAGATGCAGGCCCCGTACGCCACTGTTGAGGCATCGGAGAACCCGTGCAATTCGAACGCGACGACTCCTTGGAATGTCACGCATCTTGGGATGGCGATGTTGTGCAAATGCGACAACGAAGCTTGAAGTTCTTGCCACTCTTGCGCCGTATCTTCATCAATCGGATCGTCCCATCCGACCTTGAGCTGCCACAACCGTTGAGCCATTAGTTTTGCCAATACGATGACTGGAGAGACCAGCCCAAGAGGGTCGAAGAATTTGGCTATCTCCGAATACATTACCCTCTTCGTAACACGTTGTTGTAATGGCGGCGGTTGCTTCGGATGGTTTGCAATGTACAGCGTATCGGCATTCGGATTCCAGAGCAAGCCAAGGACCTTGATAGCTTCGTTTACATCACGTTCTTCTAACGGTACCCTTTTCTCCTGGTCTTCCACGGGAATGCGCTCGAGAAATTCTTTGGAGTTCGAGCACCATTTATGTATCGGAAAACCACCACGTCCTAGAAGCTGCTTCAATTGTTGTTGAGCTTCGATTGCATCTTCCACCGAGTCTGCGCCGGACAGTACATCGTCCATGTACGTCTCCTCCATTACAATGCGAGAGGCGATAGGAAAAAACTCACCTTCTTCCTCGACGAGCTGTACCAGGCACCTTGTTGCGAGGTATGGAGCGGATGCTGTACCGTAGGTAACAGTACACAGTTCCAGAACCCGTAGCTTCTGCGACGGGTGTGGTCTCCAGAAAATTCGGAGGAAACGTCGATCTTGTAGTGCTTGCAGTACCTGCCGGTACATCTTGGCAACGTCTCCAGAAAAGGCTATCTTGAACTTTCGGAAGCGTAGGACGATGAAATGCAGATCATTCTGCACCACAGGACCGACTTGCAGGACTTCGTTTAAAGACAGCTTTTCGGATGACGACTTGGCACTTGCATCGAACACGACACGACATTTTGTGCTCGAGCTGGACGGACGCAGTACAGCGTGATGTGGAAGATAATACCTCTGCTGGTTGGGAGGATCATCAGCTTCATTGATTTCACGGGAATGTCCGAGAACCTCGTACTCTCGAACGAACTCTACGTACTGCGCTTGTAGTTCGGGATTGTTCATCAGTTGTTTCTCCAGCATCAGGAACCTCTTCAGAGCTAAAGAACGGCAATCGTCCAGCTGCGAAGAATTTTCGTTGAACGGCAAGCTCACGATAAATCTTCCGGACTCGTCACGCTGGTATGTGGACAGAAAGTGTGTTTCGCATGCCATCTCCTCGGTTGATAACGTGGGTACGTCCGGCACTTCCTCGATTTGCCAGAACTTGTACATCTTTCGCTCGATGTCTTCAAGAGAAACGTGGCTGGCATGCTGAACTGATACGTTGGAAATCTGTGGCTCGACGATGACACCAGATACGATCCACCCAAGGTGAGTGTCTCGCAACTGTGGCAGGTTGTCCGCCAGGTTGAGTTGGCTTGGCTTCAGTATATCAAAAAACAGCTCTGTGCCGATCAACAGGTCCACCTTATTGGGCGTGTGGAACTCGGGATCGGCAAGAACCACTCCAGCAGGGATGTCCCAATTGTTGATGTTGATCTTCGACGATGGAATTGTGCCCGTTACTTTCGGCGTCACTAGGCACTCGAGGCTGGCTTGGAAGTTGGATACTCGGGACTTGAATTTCAGCGTCACCTTGTCACGAGCGAGGATGCGCAACGCGTTGATACCGGTGATCGAAACGTTGGCTGGCTTCTTCGGCAGACCCAGGCGATTGGCCATGTCTTCGGTCACGAAATTCACCTGGGAGCCGCTGTCCAACAGGACGCGGTATGGATGGGGATGACTCTTCTTATCAAACACCTGCACCACTGCGGTAAGCAGCAGTACCGTCTTGGTCGACTGGGCGAAGTTTGACGAACAGGTGGTGGACACAGGATGTTCCACGGGGGCAAGAATCTTCTGCACCGACGTCGACGGTTGACTCGGAGCAGCCGGAACCGGTGGCGGGATTGCCATAGATTCCGTGGGAAGAGAAATGTTTGGCATTTTCTCCTGGATGGGTGCCCCATCTTCATGGAGCAACGTGTGGTGTCGGCGCTGACACTTGTGGCACGTCTTGATTGAAGAGCAGTTCTTGGAACGGTGTCCTTTGCGCAGGCAGTTAAAGCAGACTCCTGCTGCTCGGATCTTTTCGTTCTTCTAGGAAGCGGTTAGGTTGTTCAGGGCAGTGCACTGGAAGTTCCGATGATCACCACCACAAATCTCACATGCTTGGGACGCATTGGTGAAAACTGCGTGGCTCTTCTGCGGCTGAACTCTTGAAGGTAGCTGGGCTTGTTTTGGCTTGATTGTTGGCGGCACTGACTGGAACGCTGCTTCGCAGTTTTCCAGAATCTGGCATCTGGATTTCAGGAACTCGATGACTTGGGAATACTTCGGAAGAGCTGCTTTCTTCTGGGTCCCTTCCCAGGACTTACGGGTCGATTTATCAAGTGCTGAAATTATCAGATACACAATGATGTGTTCTGAAACTCCGGTGATTTGTTGCTGAAGGTAGCGCAAACTTTCGACGTGGTGAGTGGCTTCGTTCAGCAGTGTTCGCAGTTCCTTATGAGACTCCGACGTCATCTTCTTGAGGAACAACAACCCACGGATGTGAGTTTCCACTATGACTCGCTTGTTCTCGTATCGGTCCGTTAAAATGGTCCAAGCTTGCTCGTAGTTACCCTCACTTAGGAGCTTAGCGTCCAGAATTCCAGTAGCATCTCCGATAAGAGCTTTATCGAGGTGATACAATTTTATGGCATTTGCATCCCCCGAGTTGGCCATCAGGTCCTGGAAGATGGCCTTGAACTTGGGCCATGCGTCGTAACTCCCATCGAACGTTGGGATTGGTGCTTTTAACGGTTGCTGCTGAATAATCACGTGAGGTGCTGCTGGAATGGCTGGAGGAACCTTTGGAGTGGCTCGAGCTTTTGCCTCTAGCAGTAACTCTTCCACAGCATTGGATACGTCGTAGTACAGTTTCTCGAAGCTTGCGTATTCGTCATCCTGTCCATCGAGCGCTTCATCGGGTACCAGGGCTATTACCTTGCTTTGGAATTGGCTGTACTCAGCGTAGGTAACAGCCAAGTTCTTGGATAGCACACCAAGTTTAGCCAATCCAAGCGTCTCATTGATCAACGTCCGATTAATCCGCACCAACTTCATTTTTGCTTGGGAGCGCTGGCGAACCAATCCACGATATTTCTTTGCTGTAGCTTCATCCCAGTCAGCTTCCCATTCGTCGAATCCATGGAACGATCCAGATCTATCCGATGGTGACGGATTTCCTTGTTGCTGTTGTAATGATGGTTGTCATCATTCCGAATATAATCAGACCTTACTCGTTGAGTGTTACGTTCCGAATGTATCGGTTTATTCATTAATGCTTTATTGAGACCTATTTGTAAAAGTTTTACATAAAGGGTGATACGGTCAAAATTTGGTCAATATCAACTTGACGTATTTCTTTCAATTTTGCATTTAAAAAACCTGAACACCCTTCATTTTGAAGGTGTGTGTGTGTAGAATGTTGCTCCTATTTTGATTTTGGAATTCACTCTTCAGTTGTCAAAATGCCGTCCAAGCAAGAAGAGCAGCGTATCAAAATTTTGCTCGCGCATCGCGAAATTCCGAGCTAATTAAAGTGTTTGGGGAACGTTTGTCGACAGCCAGGAAGTCTGGATCGGGGGGAAATCGAAAACCGGAAGCCGCTGAGACGACAAAGAGAGTTGCCGGTAGTTTCAAGCGAAACCCTAACCTCTCTCTCCGAGATGCCGCAAATAAGCTGGGTGTATCGAGCCAAAAAACGAGCCGGACTATCGACTTACAAGAAGGTAGTGACTCCAAATCGCGATGATAAACAAAATACGACGGCCAAAGCGCGATCCCGGAGGCTGTACACGACGATGCTGACGAAGTTTGACTGCGTGGTAATGGACGACGAAACCTACGTCAAAGCCGACTACAAGCAGCTTCCGGGACAGGAGTTTTATACGGCAAAAGGAAGGGGAAAGGTAGCAGATGTTTTCAAGCACATGAAACTGTCAAAGTTCGCAAAGAAATATCTGGTTTGGCAAGCCATCTGTACCTGTGGCTTGAAAAGCAGCATTTTCATAGCTTCCGGGACTGTCAACCAAGAAATTTACGTGAAAGAGTGTTTGAATAAACGTCGCTGCCTTTCCTGAAGAAACACGGTTGTTCCGTACTGTTTTGGCCGGATTTGGCATCTTGCCATTACGGTAAAAAGGCCATGGAGTGGTACGCCGCCAACAACGTGCAGGTGGTTCCCAAGGACAAGAACCCTCCCAACACGCCAGAGCTCCGCCCAATTGAGAAATACTGGGCTATTGTCAAGCGGAACCTAAAGAAGACCAAAAAAACTGCTAAGGGCGAGCAGCAGTTCAAGGCAAACTGGCTTTCTGCGGCGAAGAAGGTGGACAAGGTAGCTGTACAAAATCTGATGGCAGGGTTCAAGCGTAAGGCCCAGCAATTCGGATTTGGAAAAGCGGAAGCCTAACTGAATATTTTTCCTGAATTTTATACTAATTGAACTTGAAAAAGAAATTTAATTTGATTTTTTAAATAAACGATTTCACCGATTTACACGCGTTTTCCCTTGACCAAATTTTGACCGTATCACCCTTTAATGTGCTTAAAACGAAAGAGAGCGCAAGAGAGAGTTGGAGGTGCCTGGTAACCAAATGTGTTGAGAATTTATTGCAGTTGACAAAGTGTCGAGAAGTGTGTAACGGCGCCGGTGGTGTAGTGGTAAGCGTGATTACCTCTCACCCCAGCAGGCCTGGGTTCAATCCCAGTCGGCGCCGCCGGGATGTTCTGAGGCATAACATCTCTGATCACGCCTTCCTTCGGATGGGAAGTAAAGCCGTTGGTCCCCGGTTCATGAGTTGATGGGTCGATAGGTAGGGTCCAGGTGTGGGAGCTGCCTTCCTGGCACGTCGGTAGCATTGGTGCTCAGCACGGAAAACAAGATCGACGGAAAAAACAAACCAAAGGAAAAAAAAAAAAAAAAAAGTGTCGAGAACTGCCGATAATTGTGTAATTGGAGAAAGGTTAAAATTGAACCTGGGACTATGCATCGTTGGCGGTTGCAACATGTGCTATTGAACTTGGTTGTTCTTGCTCACGTTGCGAGACCTTGACGATGGGAAATATTGTTGCTGTGCCACATCGGTTGGCCATATGCAGCTAAGATAATTTATGCACTACATCTTCCCCTTTTAAGGAAAATGATGAACGTAGAGAAATCATTTGAATTTTGAAGTTATTGTTACCAAACACCTTCAATGTTTTGAAGTTCATACATAGTATAAAAGAAAAACTAAGTGAAAATACATTTTTATAGTTTGATTATCCTATTCTTGTGTACCGTTTTTTGTTCGTTTGTTTCACAATTTTTGATTTTTACATTAGGGTGATTGATTGATATTATTTCATATGGACCATTATAGAAGGTATCTAATTTTCTGTTATTTTCAGTTTTAAGTAAAATTTTCTCTCCTATTTCAATTATAATGGGCTTTGATTTAACTGTCTGTTTACTTATTCTATTCTGTTTCGATTTAACTACCAATTCTTTTGCCTTATCTGCAGAATATTGCAATTTATATTTTAACTCTGCGAAATAACTATCGTAATTATAAATTGGATCAGTTTTCTTAGGATTCACTAAATTTTGAGGGTAATTTGCTAGATTTCCAAAGACTAATTCGTAAGGTGTGAAAGTATGCTCAATGTTGGGAGTAGTATTGTAGCAGAAAGTATAGTATTGAAGCCAAGAATCCCAATCATCGAGTTGCTCATTAATGAATTGTCGAAGATATTCATTAAGGCATCGATGATTGCGTTCTAAACCTCCAATAGTTTGTGGATGGTAAGCAGTAGAAAAATTGTGGTTAATGTGCAACAGTAAACATATATCTTTGAACAGTTCATTTTTATACTCTGTTCCTAAATCGGTTTTTATTAGAATTGGACATCCGTATATCAGTATAAAGTGCTCAACGAATGCTTTCGCTAATGTTTGAGCTTGCTTATCAGGTATAGGTATCGCAATAACATACTTTGTGAGGTCACATTGTAATGTTAATGCATATCTATTCCCTTTCCTAGTTTTTGTCATGGGACCTATTGTATCAATGGTACGACATTAAATGCTTTCGAGGGTGTAGTGGTTTCAATGAATTTTTCCTTTGTATGCACCGTGTGTTTGTTTCTTTTGCAATCAATGCAGTTCTTAACGAACTGGTTGATAGTGTTTCGCATATTTTTCCAGTAATACGATGCTCGTAGTTTATTCAGTAATCTTGAGGTTCCAACGTGACCACCCAAAGGAGTCACGTGATTTTCAAAGATTATTTTGTCAATATCAGTTTTGTTCGTTATAATGTGTGCGGGTATGTAGACTACAAGATCTACTTCATTTGGAGATTTATTGTAAAATGCTTTAAACGTTTCAGTATTGATTTTCGAAAAAATCACACTGTTTCTTGCAATTGCTAACTTTTTTATATTTAAATGTTTGGCCATTATGTTGATTGTTTCTATAATTTCTTCGACGTCGTTTATATTTGTGCACGTTTTTCCAGAAAATTGCGCTTGAGCAAGATTCTTTTTCAATTTTTTATCAAATATTTTCATTATCAGCGCTGATTGTATTTCGTCAATTTTGATAGTTAGTTTAGGAAGATTAAACGCATCAATGTTGTTCACTGAATCGTATGCTCTAAGGTGATCAGTCTTTGAGCTACCAATTTGAGTGACATTGTTGGGATTACTTCTTGTCATAGACCTTGTCTGTATGGGTAAAACAGAGATAGTTTTTAGTTCATCTGAATCAACAATTACACGTGAAAGAGCATCGGCGCCGACATTTAGCTTTCCTTCCATGTGTTCAATGTTGAAATCAAATTCTTCCAAATCAACTCTAATTCTAGTCAATCTAGACGAAGAGTTTTTCATTGTGAATAGATATACGAGAGGTC